GATGAAGCCTGTCTCCCTTTACCCTCAGATTCCCAGGCAGGCGGTGATTTCCCTCAAACAGGGCACCTCTGGCAGTGCTTGCCTCCCCCCCCCCCTCAGACGCTCTGCTCCACATCCCCACCAGGTGAGCCAGGTGGAACCGGTAAGGCCAGATGGCGAGCTGTGGCGCATCCGGGCCCAGGCAGGCCTCAGCGTGGTGGCCATCATAACCGTGGACATCTTCTTTCACTTTTTCTACATCCTCACCATCCCCAATGACCTCAAGTTCGCCAACCGCCTCCGGAACAGTGCTCTCGGTGCGTGCTCGCAGGGACGGGAACCGGGACCACCAACCCAGGAAGACCGACCCTCTGCACTCCCTTCAGCATCACAGCTGGGGAAGCTGAGGCCCAGAGAGCACACAGCACCTATCCAAGGGGTGGGGAAGCGGGGATTTATTCCTTGAAATTCATGGGACTTGGAGTTAGCTTTTCCCATGACAAGGGAGCCGTATCTGACAGAGCACGCCCCACTTCCTGGAGGCCTCAGGCTGATTTCCACAACCTTGGAGGGGACTTTTGTGGGGCAGGCAGGGCACAGCACCTCCCGCAAGAAGTGGTCTCCGTGAGGGCGGGCTTGGAGCAAAGACCACCTCCAGGACAAGACGAGAGAGGTCTCCAAGGGGTGGGGCCTAGAGCCTCCCTGAGAAGTAGGGGGCGGGGTCTCTGTAGGGGCGGGCCAGGTGCAAGGAGCTCCCCCAGTACCTGGGGAAAGCTTACCCTCGGAGAAGGCAGGCCTCAGCTCTTCCGGAGGGATTTAGGGGTCCAGGGAGGGGTGGCCGGTGCGGCTCCCCCTGGCTATGACCACGCCCTTTTCCCAGCGGGCCTGGCCTACTCAAACCTGGTGTACGACTGGGTGAAGGCGGCCGTCCTATTCGGCGTCGTCAACACGGTGGCGCGCCTCGACCACCTGGACCCTCCCCGGCCTCCCAAGTGCATCACGGCGCTCTACGTCTTCGCAGAAACGTGAGTGCCAGGCCCGGGCACGCCCCTGGGTCCCCGCCTTCCCATGGCCCCCGTCCCATCACGTCCTGGGAGCCTGGAGCCCGACTGATTCCCACCTGTCTGCACTCACTTCACAGGCACTTTGACCGTGGTATCAACGACTGGCTTTGCAAGTGAGTTGGGTGAGAGTTGGAGGTGGGGGGCGGGGGGTGGTCACATCTATCCTGCTAGGAGTCTGAGCCGGGCAGTACTGAGATTGAGCCACCTTTGTAAAGATCACTCCTAGGCCAGAGGAAGCCAGGGGGGCTGTGAGATGGTCATTGCCAAAGTTGAGGTGAAAGAAGTTTGGACTTGGGAGGGGGCCCTATAGGTGAAGAGAAGTGGTGGGAGTAGAGAGACACCCAGCAGGCAGCGTGGACAGGGCTTGTCCATGGATTCCGGGGATCGGTAATGGGAGGAAGATGACTCCCAGATTCCTACCTGCAGTCTGGGAGGATGGAAGTGTGTGGTTTCCAGAGATGGGTTTTAGAAATGTTTAGTTTGAGATCTGGGAGACACAGAGGTTCAGGGAGGTGGTTGGGGCTGAGGGTTTGCGTTCAGAGAACGCTGGGGGACTCATGGAACTCTAAGCACCATGAGTGTGTAGGGCTGGTCTTTGGGCCATGGGAGTAGATGAGTCCTAAATGTAGAGGGTAGAGTGGGAGGAGAGAAGGGAAGGCCGAGATTGGGCTTGGAAGGATTCTGATTGGGGGCAGAAGGAGGAGCCAGCAGAAGGGACTGAAAGGAGTGCTCAGACGAGCAGTAGAAAAATCAAGAACGTGCTACACCCTGGAAACCAACGGAAGACCATCTTCCAGGGATGGTGGGGACAACTGGGTCCTATGTTGCTGAGGGTCAAGGAAGCTGGAGACTGAGCACTAGTGTTGGTGACATGGAGGTTTCAGCCTTTCACTGGAGAGGCAGGGCCAGGGAAGGAGTGAAAGGAAACCCAGGAACTATAAGGGAGTGTGTGGACAATTGTGTGGCCATGTAGAGCACCGTGATGCACTTGAGAGGCTAGGGAGGGTCCAGGTGGTTGAGGCGATGATGCCGAATAGGACAGCCAGTATGGATGCAGAAGGGTGACATGTTGGTGTGGAAAGATGAAGGATTCCATCTGAAGACTTCGGCTTTTTCCATGAAGTAGGAGGCAAGGTCATCGGCAAAGAGATGCAGGGTCGGAGCTATGGAGGGAAGAAGCATCTGTGCCTCCCCTTCTCCCTGCTCTGCCTGCATCCACTACCATACCACTCATACACGAAGAAGAGCTAAGGGTGGAGTAGCCATTGCAGAGTATGGGGGAAACTGACTAGAGAAACCTTGGCATTGAGAACCCAGGTGGGATTGGGAGTAGTGAATTTATGGACTTCAACATGTGAAGGCATGAGATTTTCCCCATCAGGGCTTAGCTCCTTGAAGGCAGATGAGGAGAAAGAAGTGAGGGATCAGGATTTTTAGGTTATTTATAATGATGACTCATGGGATATAAGCCTGTTAAGGAGGGTGATGAAGGTGGGGGGAGTCACAAGATGGGGGAGGGGTCAGTGAGGTTGAAGAGCTGGAGCTGGGGAGCCAGAAGGTCAGGAGGGTCTGGGCAAAGAGTGAGAATTAGAAAGGCGTGAAGTTGCAAGTTGTGACAAAGTCAGGGGTCCGGCCATGGAAATGAGTGGCTAGGTGGTCAAGGAACAAGAGAGGCCAGTCACTCAATGGGTCTTCCACTGAATTCATCTAACAAATATTTACTGAGCACCCACTATGTGCCAGGCACTGTTCTAGACACTGGGGACACAGAAATGAACATAGCAAAGACCCTGAACTCATGGAACTTACAGTCTAGTGGGGAGAAACAGACCACTAACAGGTAAATAAACACATAAATAAGATCATTTTAGAGTGGTAGTGTAATGAAGAAAATAAAACAGTATAATGGGATAGAGCCTAGCTACAAGGTAGATACTTCTTTAGTTGGGATTTTGAGCAGGCATCTGTGAAGGGGTGATATCTGAGCTAAGACTTGAGTAATGAGGAGATTTAGGAAAGAGAATTCCAAGCAGAGGGAACAACAAGTGCAAAGGCCCTGAGGCAGGAGCCAGCTGTATGTATTTGAAGGACAGAAAGACCAATAAGGCCAGAGCATAGTGAATGGGACTCAGGGAGCCAGACTAGGTGAGACCTTCTAGCTCACCTGAGGTGGTTGAGTTTATTTTAATTGCAGTGGGAAGCTATTGGAGGGTTTAAACACAGAGGCTGCTGTGTGAAGGGACTATAGGGGAGAGGCAAAGGCAGAAGCAAGGAGACCAACTTACAAGGCTCTTGTAATAGTCTATGTGAGAGGTGATGGTTCCCTGGACTAGGTTGGTGGTAGTGGAGGTGGTGAGCAATGGTCAGGACTGAGTGGAGCCAATAGGATTTGCTGAATCAGATGTGGGTGGTGAGGGAAATTGAGAATCCAAGATGGCACGAAGACTTCTGGCCTAAGCAACTGAATGGATTGATGAGATGAATGAAGGTGAAGCAGGTTTGGACGGGGATGGGGGAATCAGTAGTCAAGTGGAGATGTCTATTAGTAGTTAGATATACTCCTAAAGATAGATTTGGGGTCATTAGTATAGAAACAATATTTAAAGTCTTAGGTCTGGATGATATTACCTGGGGAGTGAATGAACATCACTAGAGAAGATATGAAGTCTGCAGGCTAAGCCCTCCACATTTTGAAATTGGACAAAGGAGGAGGAGCAGTCAATTGAAGACAGGAATGTTCAATGTACACAGGGTGATAAGGTTGAGGAGGGCTGCCATGTTGTTTCTCTTCTGCCCATCTTGCACCTGTCCTTTCCCATACTCCCATCGACCCCTTCTCCTGCCTTTTCTGCAGGTATGTGTACAACCACATTGGTGGGGAGCACTCTGCGGTGATCCCAGAGCTGGGGGCCACAGTGGCCACATTTGCCATCACCACTCTGTGGCTGGGGCCCTGTGATATTGTCTACCTGTGGTCGTTCCTTAACTGCTTTGGTCTCAACTTTGAACTCTGGGTGCAGAAGCTGGCAGAGTGGGGGCCCCTAGCACAAATTGAGGTGAGCACGGAAGGTCTGGGGCTCAGTTGCCTGGGTCACTGGAAGGGGCAGCACTGCTGCTCCCTAGAGCTGTCCAGCCACACTCGGCCCCCAGTCCAGAACTTTCTCACCACCACCCTCCAGGTTGTCAGGGCAACGGCTCGCCCTGTGGGTATCCTGCCCTCCCTACTCTCTGCCTGTGTGTTCTACATCTCTCGGCCACTTTTCTTGGTACAAACTGGAGTCCAAACAAGGGCAACTGTGGGGCGTGGGACACCAGGGCCTGCTTGTGTTTGTCAGTCCTGCCCTCTCTCTGGACCTCAGTTTCCCCATTTTCAACAATGGGAGAGAGTTGGCCTGGGACTCCCAGAGACCCAGCATATTCCCAGGCCTAAGCAGCCATATGGGAAGGCCACTGACCACCACGTCCTCTTTCCTCTGGGCCTCTTGTCCTGCTGCCAATGCTTCTGTGGACGAGGCAGGCCTCTCTGTCGGAGGAGATGTCCCGCAGGGTCCGGGCCCTCTTTGGGGCCATGAACTTCTGGGCCATCATCATGTACAACCTTGTGAGCCTGAACAGCCTCGAGTTCACGGAGCTGGTCGCCCGGCGCCTGCTGCTCACAGGTGAGGGACAGGGATGGGGGGATGCAGAATGTGCCAGCATCAACCTTGAGGAACGCGACCTTCTCAAATGTTTTCCCACCCCCACGTCCCCGCAAGGACTCAGCAGGGTCAGTCAAGTTGGGAGAGGGTAGGGAAGAGAGCAGTCACTGAGGAGGGGGTGCTGCCCCAAGCATCGATGCCCTGTCCCCCACATAGGGTTCCCCCAGACCACGCTGGCTGTCCTGTTTGTCACCTACTGTGGTATCCAGCTGGTGAAGGAGCGTGAGCGAACCCTGGCACTGGAGGAGGAGAAGCAGGACAAAGAGAAGCCAGAGTAGGTGGGCGGGGGAAGAGGGAAGGGCTATGCTCAGCTATGCCTGGGGCCTGACCAATAGAATAAAAGACTTTTCTACCATAGCATGGCTGTTCCCTGCCCCTTCCCCCAGTGGTCTCCAGGTGCCTTGCCCATGCTTGATGAGGAGCGGGAGGTGCTGGGTCCCAGGGAGGGGGATCAAGCTCTTGGAGCACACAGAGTCTGGAGGGCAGAGACCACCGACCTTGGCAACCCAAGAGCTGAACACTGAAGCCCGAGTCTTCAAACCGCCCGGTACAGACTCCTGGAGCACCTGATTCCAGACCCTGAGCTGCTTGCTTGGAAGGCACTTTATTCTTCTTAAAGAAGGAGACTTATCCACTCTGGAAGGTGTGCTTGGTGGGGACATTCCCCATCTGACGGGCGAGGAGACTGGGTCCTATGGGGAAATTTAGCCAGCACACACAGCCAGGCTGGGGCAGGGCCAGGACTCAGCCCAGGGCACACTGCTATGGTTCCGGTTCATAAACCAAGAAGGCCCAGTGGGGGACATGGAGACACTGGCAAGGCCTGGAAGTTCTCATCCCTGCCCGAAGGCTGCGAGTGGGTGGCAGTTTTCTTTGCCTGGTCAAGTGGCCACTCAGGCACCATGATGGAATCCAGGTGGGCTCTGGCCTCTTCCAGACTCCCTCCTGCAGCCCCCTTGAGGCCAGGCCTGTGTGGCTGCAGGATGGGGAGGTGCTTGGTGTGGGCGCTCTGGGCTGGTCACATCTTGGTCAGGCGCAGCACGTTGAGCCGCACAGGTAGGAAGGTGGCACCCGCTGCATAGGCGATCTCCCGCAGGACTCCCTCCCACTTCTTTTCCTCCTCATTGTACCTGGGGGTGGGGGGAGGATGGGAGCAGGGACAAGGAGCAGGGACAGGGAGCTTGGTCAGCTGGGTCCCAGCAGGGAGGGGTGGCTGGGTGCACCCCCAGTCCCAGGCCTATCCCAGGAAGGTCTGCCCTTAGAGAATCCTATGCTCAAGGCCCATCCCCAAAGAACACTCACCCCATACTCCAGGAAGGCCCACCCTCCCCAGGAAGGGCCACCTCTCAAGAATTCCCCTACTCATCCAAGCCAGCCTCCTTCCAGGAAGGTCTATACTCCCCACCCTGCATTCCTTCCTCTTGAGAATTTCCATTCTCAACTCTCCAAGAAGTCCCCCCAAGTCCCACTTTCCCAGCAGGACTGCACCCAGAGGCTGCCTGCAGCAGTCGCGATAACTGAGGTTCAGGGGGTACCCCAGCTGGCCAAAACCTCTTCTCCTAGCCCTCGTGAAGGACCAGCCATGAAAAGCAACGGCTCCGAGAAGCTGGGGTCCAGCTGCTTCCCAACCCTGTCCTCAGCCCTCCCCTCCAGACCCAGCATCCAGGAGGGAGGGAGAGGAAAGGCCTGGCTGCTTTCCGGGGGCCCCTTTTGCTACCTGGGCCCTGTTTCTGTGAGTCTGTGCCATAAGCTTGGGCTCAGCTCCTGTAAAACAGTCGATGCTCCACAGTGGGGCAAGGTGCCATGTGTGCAAACCCAGACTTTCCAGCCAGACTAGAGAAAAACAGGGCCGAGTGCAGGTCCTTGCTGTTCCTTCCCCACAGGGCCCAGTGGAGGAAGGACCGGCTTTGTCCCCAGAGGAGCCTGCCAAGTGCCTGGTGCCCAGCCAGGGTGCCTGGGCTATGGATACCTGCCTTGCTCACACTTCCCCCCTTACCTCTTTGGGGCCGGGCTCACCTCCAGATGTCGTTGAGCTCTGTGGGGACCAGCTCCCCAGACTCGGTCTCCAGCGTGGCAAAGCCACCAATGCCATAGAGGGTGCCCGCCAGGCTGACGAGGCTGAGGGAGCTGCGCTCCTGCGGGAAGGCCTCAAAGGGTGCCCACCTGGGAGGGAGGGAGTGAGGAATTGTATCACCCAGGTGGCCTCGGGTGACCCCATGGCCAGTGACTCCCTGCCACCCCAGCGCTCACGGTTCCACTGCACCCTTCGGAAATTTGAATCCCAGGCTGTCTCCCACACTCCCAGCACAGCCCCGTTTTCCAGCCCTCTCAGGAATGCCTGCCTGCTGCCCCTGCCTGGGCCCCATAGCATGCCAACCCCGTTCCCTCCCTTCTCCCTCCGGTCTTCTTCCTTTCCCATCCTCTTGCCCCTTCCTCTCCCTTCGTTGTCCCCTTGTCATTCCATCCAACCTGCCCAGAGAAGTCCACTGTGGCTCCCCTAGTGTCCCTCCTCCTCCAAACTAACTCCTGCTCACTACCTCACCACCCAGCCCACAGCAGCCCCCGCACTGCCCCAGGCTTAGAAGTCTCACTCCTCAGGGGCCACTTAAGCCCTTTCCTCATCACGTCACTGTGCTCCACTCTCTTCTCCCTTCACAGCCCAGTTATTCTCCAGCTGTCTTCACTCTTCAGACTGTCCCTCAGGGCTTGGACCAAAGCTCCTCCCACTTACACCCTCTCTCCTGAGGGAGCTTGTCCCTCCATGTGCTGTCGACCCCCAGATCTCTCCCTGGGCTGCATACCTCTCTGCCCCAGAGGGCTCCTCCTGGACATCCTCCTAGCACCTCAATTCCTCACGTCCTAGCTGGATCCTCACTTTTCCTAACCCCAATGGTTCCCCAATAAATGGCTTCCTCACCCCCACTCAGAAACGTCCACTTCTCCCTCTCTCTCACCCCCAACACCTAGTCATTCACCAAGTCCTATTTCATCTTTCTCCTAAATTCTCACTACCCAGTGTGGTCTATGGAACAACAGCATCAGCATCACTTGGGTGGCTGTTAGAAATGCAGACGCTCGGGCCCCACCCCAGATCTGCTGAATCAGAATCTGCATTTTAACAAGACCCCAGAAGACTCAGGTGCACATTACAATGTGAGAAGCTCTGGTCTAAGTCTTTGCCCTCTGCCCCCTCCCGTCCGGCCCTCAGTTCCAGGCCACCATCGCCTCTTGCTACAGCCACCCATTTGGCTTCCGTGCCTCCTAGGAAGTCCCTAATCTGTTCTCTAAGTCAGCTGGCATGCAGGGTCTTAGGAAAACCCAGGTGGGAGCTTAAAACCCTTCGCAGGCATTTCACTGCCGTCAGGATAGGCCCTCAGTGCTGCTCCTCACCTCTCCATCCCCAGTAGCCACCAAGCCCACCTCCCTTCACCCATCACACTCCCTCCAACCTGAGCAATGGCCTTCCCTCCAGTGTTGTTGTTGTTAGGTGCCGACAAGTCAACAAGACAAGTCGGTTCCAACTCATAACGACCCTAGACAGACCGAAACGATGGGCCCTACCTTTGTTCTCCTAACTGCTTTGGCACCAACATTTCTTTGCCTGGGACTTCCTCCTCCCACTCATCCTCAGCCCTTTTGCTAGCTGAGCCCCCCTGGTCTTCTCTTTCCTGGCTGCCCAGGGCAGGCCAGCTTCTGTCTTGTCACCACTGTATCCCTATCACCAGGCCCATGCTCAGGTATGGTGCCTGAATGAAGAACCCCTTCTCCACCCCTGGAAGCCCCCTCCTGCAGAGCACACTGGCCACGACACTTGCCTCACCTTTGAGGCAAGTCCCTGCCCCACCTCACCGCTGGTCAGAGGACAGGGACTATTGCTGTGGGGCAGAGGTATCACTAAGGCTGGTGTCATCCACTACAGTAACTCATGGTGTCACCCGCCCCCCCATGGACCTCCTCCTGTACCAGACCATACAGAGTGCTTAGTAATATCTTTTGTACTAATGTTACTCGTAAGTCATAACTCCTGTATATCACTCCTTCTTTTCCTTTCGTTACTATTTCATTCTCAAAAAAGTTATTAATATAGGTTCACAAATACTAATCACCACAATATTGTAGCTAAAACTTCAGAAAATTTGACAAAATCAGTGACTATAAAAACATCAGCGACAATGAAAACAGCCGCACTTGCTTGTAGCCCGAGTAGTCAACCACGTGATTTGAGGCGTCACTGTAATTGGGTAATGACAGCTCTGACCTGAGCGCACTAAAACCCAAACACCAAACCCATCGCCGTGAAGTAGATTCCAACTCATAGTGACTCTATAGGACAGAGCAGAACTGCCCCGTAGGCTTTCCAAGGAGCGGCTGGTGGATTTGAACTCCAGCTGCTAGATTTGAACTGCCGACCTTTTGGTTAGCGCCATTAGAAAGTTCAAAAAGTAAATTAGCACAGAATTTTAGCCTTGTGGGTATATCGATACATGTAAACTGGGCGTACAAAAAATGTTCTTGTTATAACTAACTATAGGGGTATTTTTATAAAAAATAATAGATTTTTGATGAAGCTGCACAGGAATTTTATAGACAGGTCATTTTGGGGTCTTCCCCTCTGACAGTGCCAGACGGTGTGGTCTGCACCGCCAGCATCCCCCTAGTGACAGCAGTGCTGGGGTGATGTCCAAGCTCAACAGCTGAGACCCAAGATGGGGGCTATGGGTCCCACCTGGGCGGACAGGGAGAGGGCAGACACAGGCCCTAAGCCACACAGTACAGGCAGTTGCAGTGGGGCTCTTGGTCCCTGGGTGGGGCAGTGGCCATACTTGTTGTCTGCAATGTTGTACACCTCAGTGGCACTGGTCAGTCCAGTGTTGGTGACCCCAGCAGCTACAAAAATGCGACCATCATGGACCGTGGCCCCGAAGAGTGAGCGGGCGGTCTGCATGGGTGCCAGCTCCTTCCACTCGAACTTCTTGGGGTCATAGACGCACATCTTGTTCAGGCACTTCCTGTGGGAGAGGAGGTGGCAGTGAGTAGCTGGAAGCCGGAGCAGAACCGCCGCTCCCTCCGCCCAGTCCCCCCTCCCTTCCGCCGGCCTCCCAGTGCAGCAAGTCATGCCCCTACAGCCTCCTGGGGAGATTCTGTTTCTGCTGTAACTCCAGTCCTCCTGCCACGACCTCACTCCAGGCCTGAGCCTCACCTGTCGCTGCCTTTGCCACCAATGACGTAGACAAGGTCCATATGAGAGAGTACCGCGTGGCCGTACACGGCATAAGGCAGGGGGTCCGATTCTCCCCATTTGAATGACCTGGAGAAGACGCGAGAGGATGGAGTTGGGGCGAGCGCTCAACTC